CCAAGGGGCTTATTGGAATACAACGTGTCTGTCGCTCGCTATTGGTTGGACAGGCACATTTCCAGCACCTCGACCAAAGGTCGAACTATCAATTCCGCGCGTGTTCCGAACGTGTTCAATCTGCTGGAACAACTTCTGGTACAAATACCCCATGTCAAGGAACACTTTGAACCAACATCACTACCTCACAATACGTGCACACTACCACAGCAAGCAATCAGCCGACTCTAACCCTTCCAACGTCGATGGTCGTGCCACCCCACGCCCCGTTTCCCATGAGATCCTTCAGACTCTCAATGCATCAGGTTTCGAAGATGATGAGGAGTACGGGTTGAGATCAATCTGCCCGTCAGCTAAGATCTGGAGGGATGTTTCACAGACTTCTTTGAAAAGCTCATCTGCTGCCGTGGAAACTGGTGGAAGTTCTGAAGGGTCGGAAGAATCAAATGTGGAGGGGTTGTGTGCGGTTCGTGAATGGCACCATATCAATAGTTGACGGAGGCGTTCTGATTTTGGGAGTTCGGTATCGATATGCTTGTAGAAGCTCTCGTGTGAAACCGTCTTGTGTGGTTCAGCTGGAGGTGTAAACGTTCGAGATAAGTCAAGTTTCCAAGTGCATAGGGTCAAAACCGCATAAAACGAGCCTGAAGTCTTGAACGACGCTGACATACGCTTCCCTCTGCTCACAGAACCCCGATGACCCTGACCTCCTTTCCCAACATTCCCCCCTGGTAGGGATGGCATTCCCCTCCTCTGCCCGTCTGTTTCCTCATTCGAAGCCCGAATAGCCGCCATGGTGCCCGAGCGAAGCGCCTCAATTCTATCGATCATGGGGCTCTCGTCAATGGGTGTTTGTTGTATCGTATCGATCGTCTTCTTCCCCTTCCCTTCCCCTTCCCCTTCCCTTCCCCTTCCCCTTCCCTGCCGATCCCGTTCCGTCTCTCCTGTTCCTACCCCCAGGCTCGAATTCTATGTCGCGCTTTGGGATCAAAGATGGGTCAACTTGCCGAGCGCGAGACTGCCGGCGCAACTTGTCCGCCTCGTCTTCCATCGCGCGGACGTCTTGTTCAATCCTTTCCTCTTGAATAGTTTTGGTCGTCCTGGATAGAGGCACTCTAGATGTCGACGGCTGAGGCTGAAATAGTGATGATTGAGGGCTAGCTCGGAACTTTTTGGAAGGCTGCAGGCTGGGTTGTGAGGAAGACGCTGACGCTGGTGGCATGGAACGACCTGGCTGTGACGACGGAGGTGACTGCGAAGCATGTCGTGACGAAGTTTGTCCTTAAGCAGAACTTGGACGCGAATGAGGTTCCGGCGCATGAACAGTGAGCAATCCGCTACTTTGGTCTCCCTCGGTCTGCACTGTAAATAAAGGTTTCCTTGACGATATCCAGGACAGACGCGTAAAGATTACCATACGAAAGAACTCACGTTTCGGACTGTATCACGGTACGCCTTTTGATCTTTCGCTGCCATCTACAGGACACTGCACTGAACAGTGGACACATTGGAACGAACTTCTTACGGAAATTGATTGAGTGGTACTCGAGATAGGAGCCGATGCATCATTTTACACTGCTCATGTCATGGGCTCACCACTCTGGAATATCTGTCCACGCCACATAGATCCTCGAGACTGCGGAACCTCAACATCGCGAAGAGAACTCCGATTTGTAACCGCACAAAATTGCTTCTGGAGTTCCAAGTCGAAAGTAACATGATATTCCAAGTACATATTTCTGAATGTCAGGCATTTTCGGTGCGTATACCTCATTTCTTGTGACTCAATCAAGCTCATGTTCGTTATCGGTAGTGCTCCGTTGGTCTGAACACGTTCCAAACATTCGGAGACTGGCATCGCTTCTTAGCCAGTGCATTTCGCTACCCTGGGGCGAATGAAAAGTCAGCGTGTCGGCCGCTCGACATTGGTTTGGCAGGCATGCCACCAACACCTTGCAGAGGTTGGCTGTTCGGTTCTGCGCGTGCTCCGAACGTGTTCATGTTTCGTCACGTCCCTCACGAACATCATGTTCCTGTGCCACGAGGCAACCTGCTGGAACAACTCTTGATACAAATACCCCATGTTAAGGAACACCTTTGCACCAACAATCCTACCTCACAATGCGTGCTCACTATCACAGTAAACTACCGGGCGATCTTAGCCTTCCAGACGTCGACGGTTGTGCTACCCCGCGACCCGTCTCCCACGAAACCCTCCAAACTCTCAAGTATCAACTCTATCCCAAGCAGCACTCATCACGGTCGCTCGAAGAGCAATTCAGAACGATCTCCAAAGAGCTTGGGTTCCCATGGGAGGGCGAGGTGTTGAGATTTGACGTACCAGCTACCGAGACAGTCGATGTGAGTAGTCAAATCCCTGTTTGTTCATGTACAACCTCCTTACCGAGAGTGAAGGCCATGAAGGAGATGCTTGGCTATTACACGAAGGAGAGGTTAGTCTAGTTGTCTATGTCTCTCCCTCAAGCTGGCACTGACCCCATCTCTGCAGGGTAATCGAACCATACGATATCTTGTGGATGTTTACACGCGGCCACGCGTATCTCGATATCGAAGGTACGTTCTTGACCCGATCTCGGGTCACAGCGGCGCAAGCTCACCTCAATATTTACTCGCATTCAGAGCCGTGGACAAACTCTACCATTCGTCTGAGCCTCGACGAAGGAGAATCAATCCTGATTCCGGCTGGTGCATACCACCACTATACGCTGAGCACCGGCCTGGGGACCGAATTACGGATGTGGGCGATGTACAAGGTATGTCTGATTTACGTACCGGGCTAGATTGAACTGAGCTTCTTGACTTCTAAGACTTCGGATACATCCTATTTGGAGGCGGATCTACCGCCTCTAATATTCGGGCAGGAGGCCGAGCAGCACCCTGTCCGTCGCGCGTATCTTGACAGCATAAGACTTTGAGCTGAATTATCTATTGTGTACTCATTTATCTGTAACTGTATACATACCTACTTGGCTGTAGTATCTATTGGGGATCTCATCGACAGTTCACCCTGTTGGTTAGTAATAGCACTGTAACTTTTGGGTCCAACCGGCGCCTATCGTCTTCAACCACCATGATCATGTTCTGACCGTGAGTTGCGTTCCTCAGGCCTCCGTACGAAACCCTCCTTGCTTCCCACGTTCTGCTTGAGGTCCACGATATATACATACGGCTAATTGAACTCAAGCTGCCGGTGGAAAGCAAACAAACTCTTCTGTCGATGAACTGTCAACGAATCATCGCTTTCTTCTTGTGGGTAACAAGCACCGCTTTTTGAACAACACAAACCTCTATCAGGCTGGTTAAGCCTCTTCATTCTCTTCTGGGACTCACAGTCACGTAGGATACTCAGCCATCGTTGCTTATACTCGAAGACACGACTTTCAAATCGATGAATGATATTTATGGGCTCTAATTTTCCTCCGGGTTTATCGTTGCCACGACGAGACGAGACGACTGAGGACTCCATACAAACTCCATACCTCCAAATTCACTTCGGTAAGTGATTGTCAGATGTTGATGCGAAGCTCGTTAACGTTGCCGCACTTGCCAATGACCGAAGGTCACCCGCGATTCGTACCATTAGGGCCACAGGACCAGCTCTCTCAAGTCTCCTTTGACAGGGTATCGCCTTCGTCAAACTCCTACTGAGGTCTTCAATAAAGATATCACCCCTTAGTTATCTAGACGGGCTTGAATGTCCGTCGCCGTGTTCCGTTGTGGCCGCGCGAGGGTCTCTTGCTGAACCTCATCTTCGAAGTAGGAAGTGCCTCGGGGAGCTGACTTCTTCCTACCGACGGCACGAGTCTCATGCCCCCAGAACAACTGTCATGGATCTGAGAGCGTGGTCTACCATGCTAGAGGTTGCCTTCGAGCACGGACCTCGTTCCGATCCCTTCAACAGCTTTCGTCCCGAATGTAGGCGAACTTGAGGTTTGTCGATCGTGCATTGCCATCGACTGACATCCGTGGAGAAATTATATTCAGGACATTCGTCTTTAAAAGATGAACATGGCCTCTAGAGATCTCGTATCATGGCCGCCTCGGAGGTTCCAGCTTTGGCACTCTCGTCTATCGCAACAATTCTCCTCCTCCTTGTGAGCTTCAACCGTCTCCGTCTCGCGATCTTCTCCTTGAAACTGACGTTTAAACTCCTTAGGTGTGCGTGTCCTCCCCAATCTTGGAGGGTGTCTACTTCATGGAAGCTAGATCTGAGATGCTAAACACGACGTCGATACGGTTCGGCACCTTCGGATTCAGTCATTCAACTCGCCTGGGCGTCGGGTACCAGGGCCTCGATCTGACTCCCCTAGGTATAAGGTCAGTCGATAGCTTCCGGTCACAGCAGTGGTATCATTCCTGAAATGGCCTTATTGAAAGGCGTGCCAATGAAAGCGAGGCGCGGGAGACGACGGACTGTTTAGAAACACTCTCAAAAGCTCTCGTACTTCACCCGATTGGTAAGGCTTCCACTTCGTTCATCGACTCGAGGTTCATTCCATTTCTAGCGACGGGCTTCGGAGGTCTTACAATCCTATTCGCGTTTTGTGACATAGAAGTTGGCGTGGACTCAGGCTTGACGCATCTAGTACCGATTTTTCTTGGCGAGTGCAGTCGTCGATAGATCTTCTGATTGCAAAGTCCTGATACATGCGTCTCAGGCTTTGCAACCCTCTTTGCCCTTGTCGCCTGGATCATCGACATGGTTTTGTTCGCCGTAGTGGCGAAGCAACTCAACGACCTTGGAATTCGCACCGCGTGGGGAAACGCGACTTGGCTAGTCCTCACTGCTGTTGTAGTTTTGGTCGTTGGGTTTGTAATTGTTGCAGCCGATCATGGGATGTGTGTTGGGCCCAGGAGGAAAGGTTATGCGTACCTTGCTCAATTCAAACGGGCCTTCACCTGATCCTCCTGTATTCGCTGTTTGGTATTTCGATAACGATGCGGACCCTCAAGGTTTCTTTGTAAAAATTGCCTCTTATGGCCGACTAGCTCAGTTGGTTAGAGCGTCGTGCTAATATGCGGTCTTTTCTCATCCTGTAACGCGAAGGTCTTGGGTTCGATCCCCACGTTGGCCATTGATTTTTGTCGCTTCTGGACGACCTCTCCACTCGTAGCCATTTGCCTCCCCCCGATTCTACCACAGCTGGAATGAGGTCCAAGATTATCCTCTACCAGTGTTTACGAGTGTCCCCTCATCATTGCGAATGCCATAGAAAGTTCACGAATATTCTATAGTTACGTAAACGCGGTACTATAATTTGAACATTTTCATCCGATTTTGATTCAACTGTAACGACCATGGCATCTTCTGAGCGTCCCATTGCTTTCTTCGATATCTCTATAGGTGGGAGGCCCGCTGGGAGGGTGATATTCTCTCTCTACTCCGACCTCGTTCCCAAGACAGCGGAAAACTTCCGTAAGTCGCGCCTACTTCTCCGATCGAGTTGGATCGCTCAACTTTCGATAGGCGCATTATGTACCGGAGAGAAGGGTACAGGGCAGTCTGGAAAGCCTCTTCATTATAAGGGATCTGGGTTCCACCGTGTAATCAAATCGTAAGCTCGTGGTTTCGTCGGCCTTTCAAATGGCAAGGAATAGATTGTCTGGAGCGTCGATTCGTTAACAGGTTCATGTGTCAGGGAGGTGACTTCACGGCTGGAAATGGTACGAACTTGGAGTTTTTCATTGAAATCATCGTCGATCTAATGTGGGGCACTCTTATTCGCAATGTAGGAACTGGAGGAGAATCGATATACGGCGAGAAATTTGAGGATGAAGCATTCCCCGTAGATCACACCAAGCCGTTCTTGCTTTCAATGGCGAACGCTGGACCAAACACGAATGGTTCTCAATTCTTCATTACCACAACACCGACGCCGCACCTTGATAAAAAACACGTCGTTTTCGGGGAGGTGATCAAGGGAAAATCAATTGGTATGTATCGCGTCGTCTCCAGCAAATTTCCAGTGTGCTCACTATCTTCCCAGTTCGCCAGATCGAAAACTTCCCAACGAGTAACGGAGACAAGCCCACCGAGCCAATCATTATTGAAGACTGTGGTATCCTTCTTCCTGATGATCCCTCCCTCGCTGCAGAAGAAGTTGGCACTGATGGGGACCCATACGAAGACTACCCGGACGACGATGACCACGACGTCTCCAAACCCGAAGTCGCCCTCGAAATTGCTACTAAAGTACGGGAACTTGGGAACAAGCTTTTCAAGGAAGGCAAACACGACCTCGCTTTAGCCAAATACCAAAGTATGTCCACCCCACGCGACGCCCGCTATAGGACAAGACTTACACTCGCAATGCCCAGAATCTATCCGATATCTAGATGTTCATTACAACTTGCCCGAAGATGCGTCTGAAGAACTTAAGCAATCTTATAGTGCTCTTCTTGTTCCTTTGCTCCTCAATTCTGCGCTCGCCGGTATCCGTACGCAACCACCTTCTGCATCCAACGCAGATACAGCTATCAAATCTGCTACTCGTGCCCTGGGTTTGGAGCTCAGTACTGCCGACAAGGGTGAGTGATGCAATGGACTCCGTTACTTCACGGGCTCATCTTCGTGCCTTCAGCTAAGGCCCTTTATCGACGCGCACTGGCCCATGTCCTTCGAAAGGATGATGACGAAGCAGAGAAAGATCTCACAGAGGCTAGCAAACTTGTTCCCGACGACCAGGCTATTGCAGGAGAGCTCGCTAAGGTCAAGCAGCGCAAGAAGGAAAAGCGAGACAAAGAGAAGAAGGCATTCGCAAAGATGTTTGCCTAGATAGACTGTATGAATTACTGTATAGTGATAAAAATAATTGATCCTGTGTTGTAGATCTAGCGAGGCCAATGGGTGAACCGGTGATACGTCTGTAGTCGTTCACTGTATGAAGTGAAGCAGGAAACGATGGGTCAAGAGAGGTGATATCGTTGGTGCCCTGTCTTCGGGAGCCCGGAACAGGATGGGTGCAAACCTCGCAGCTGACATGAACGATGCCACTTAGCCATCCCATCAAAGCTTCTGGGGGCGGGTAACTCACCGATCTTCACCGCTCGCACCTCGGGTTGTGCTGACGACTGTACAATGAAGTGCAGGAAAGCCGTTACCGATATCCACACCTAAGGCCAACATCGTTAGTACTTTATACTCGTCTGCCACCAAAACTAAGCCACGTACATTGACGGCAGCGGGTGGTAAAGCATCCAGAATCTAGAGCAATGTCAGTGAGATTTGCTCTGCGTTAGAGTGCTCAATGGGGATCAAAACCCACCTCAAAAGCTTGATCTCGACTTGTTGCCTGCCCGCATTGACTGTGCAACACCTCTGGAATGATGCCTTCCGGTAAAGAACCCAGTAACTGGGTTAGGGTTTCCCCAAAGGCAACGAGACTCTTGACGTCCTTCTCCTTCTCCTCGTCTGAGAACGGGAACTCCTCGCCGGTATCGAGACACTATTATCAACCGTTAGAATGGACATTCGCCCCGCGTGAGAAACAGCTTTGACCTCTCTGATCTGTTCCACCATGCCTTGATCGGCATAATTCACAAAGATATCTTCCTGCAACAATTGACGTATGAGTGTGGAGGGTCCAATAAATCTTCGAGCACCACAGTACCACAGCATGATGGCCACCAGTCATCATCCAATTGACCAATCGCATAATTTCCCGGGGAGCATTGATCGCACGTTCCTCATTCAAGAGGTCTTCCGGACCCTTCAACGAACGAATCGGTCCGGGAAGCCTAGTCAGCCGTGACAGCTTGTTCGCGAAACAAGTGTATTCTGCACAGGTAAATGAGTACGTTGCGCCAACCGCTCGATGGGGACTAAAGGAACTCACGATATTTCCCTGAAACGGTAATAAAATGATCCTTGCCCAGTAGCGTATGCATTATGAGGGTGCAGTCCAGGTCCCTCGACCCTAGATTTAGTTTCGATGCAGAGCGGTCATCAACGAGTACAGAAAGAACGATCTCCAATTCCTCGCTTGGAAGAATTAAACCCTGGAAGAGTTTGTCACCATAAGTCAAGAGACTATGCGCGAAGAATTGGAATGTGAAGAGGTTGTACATACCGTCAACGGCGATATGCTTAGCCAATCGGGGTCTATGGAAGCAGAATGTCAGCAAGAAAGATATGACCTTCGATATTGAAGAGCCTTACGAATCTCGCTCCCTGTATCGAGAGGTACGAATCGGAAGGCAGACGGAACCTAGGATGAAAGTAAGTTTGAGCGCCGAGTGATCCACCGTAGGGAAGGCGAGCATTACCTTGCCCGTATTCCGTATGCTAACTGTCCGCTTGACTGGTTTGTTATAACTGGGGTACTTCAGTCAGAACGTTACAGAGGGTGAACCAAGAGTAAGACTCACACAATCTCTCCTAGATCAATCGCACTCTGACTTAATTGGGTCTTTCCCCTAGACTGATTTTCTTCGATCCCGTGCAGTTGTCTGAACAGATGCTTCGCAGTCGTAGAAAGCTCGTTCTTATCGTATACATCAACCTTTCGCAGTGCTCAGCCGGGAGAAGCGTAGATGGCTCAAAGATAGAACCTACATTGACTGTGAAATCCGCAGAAACAGGCTTGTGGTCGCTCATCGTGATTTCGGGATGTCCGGCATATGAACGGTGGAGGACCAATGAGGTAAGGGAGGAATGTGCATAGAGGACGCGGTCAGTCCACGCTGGCTTTCGCCTGTCGAGACGGGGTAAGCGACAGGCCGCAGCAAGAGAAAGACACCCTTCACTTGATATCATATCCAAGGTTGTCCGTCATGATGCCACTGCTGAATCGATAAGTTCTGCGAAAGTATCCGTCCATTCAATTTATCCTGAGGAAGCGAAGGTTGTGAGCTAACTCACGGAAGATGCTCAATGGGACGCTCCGAGAACAGGTCAAATGCCTTATTATCCCGCATCGCATTCTTGAGCTAGTCGACAAATTTAGCATCTGCAGACGAAAGAGCCACGAGAGATCTAACCTGATCATGCTTGAGCAATGCATTGAACTTGCTGTCCCAATGCTCAGCACCTAATATCGTCCGGACATCGGAATCGGGTAGGTCTAGTCGGTAATTCAAGTCTGGAGATAAGTTTAGACTCTGAAGTCCGCGCATTTGACACGGTTCGGCCGCTTACCGCCCTACAGAGCGAGTGTCAGAAAGTTAATCAAGGCTTGCTTCGAGGGTAGCAATAATGCATCCTCACCATCCAGAACAACACGTCACTTTCGAACATATTATACCTTTCCGTGACTGTCGTAGGTCCAGAAGGTTCAGAGGCAGCATTAGCTAGCGGCTCAACCTGGATCGTCGCCCTTCGCACTGGCACACCATTGATGTTACTCCTACCCGAATCAGTCGAGATACCGCCACCACCGCTGGCATTCGCCGCTCTCGATGCAGCTCCAGGCCCAGAAGTGTTAGTGCCCGTGGAGCCAACAACATTAGGCGTCTCCAGAAACGCCAATCTTTTCGCCAGGTCCTGATAGTCCGAATTCCGCTTATCTACCATCTCGTCAAATGCGGCCAAATGTGAGCACACGAATGTGAGTGTGGTTGGACCGGGTTGCTTGATGTCGTCATATTCACTTGAATATCTCGCTTTCCGTATTGCAGAAGTGTCAATTGAATGAGACTTGTCCTTTGCCGTTGGTCCGTCCTCCGACGAAGAGTCGTCACGATCCTTTGATGACTTCTGTTGGAGTCTATCGGATGGAGGTGGAGTAAACGTGAGTCGAATAGCCGTCCCGCCTTTGTTGCCCTAGGTAGTAGCACAGAAGTTAAGCACAAAGCAACCGAAGCACACGCCGCAGTAGCCATATCATTCACTTACCATAATGCCCATTAGTCCGACACCGGCAGATGAGGTGATCACATTTGAGAAACAGCTTCTCAATGAGGACTTTACGATGATCACGATCAGAATGCCCACGAGTTGTTTTGAGGCGAGCTGCAGGTAACACATATCAGGATCCATGGACACGAGGAATGATATATTTGTGTCAAACTGGCCTTTTCATAATGGGCGGCTTTGTCTCCTAGGGCAGAGAAGATGGCCGTACACCATGCTTCTTCT